GCATCTCGTGGAAGAGGCCCTCGCGGTAGGAGCTATCGTCACATGCAGGGTGCCACGCTAACTTCTGAAGAGTGGTTGAGTGTTTGGGCCCTGGAAGGACCGAGAGGGGGGATGGAGGTGGAGGAGATTGCGGAGGACGAGGAGTGCGAGGAGGTGGGCCAGAGCGGTTATTATGGCGCCTTCAGCGTAGAGGCTATGACAGATATGATTGGTATTGGTAGTTATCTTCGAAGGGCCCCCAAGAGACGTTCATGCCCGCCATGGTCTCTTCCAGGCGGACTGTGGGGGATTGTCATTGATCCTGAATTTGGGCTTGCGCCAGATCGACTAGGGCTCGGGGCGGACAAAGAATTGGACTCCGCTGTTTTGTATACGGCTCTGCATAAGGGCCTTCAGTGTGTCCGTTTCGCTGGACGTTTTCCACGGCTCTGGAACAGAAGTTTCGGATGTGGGCCCCCAAAATCGTCGGTGCCAGGGCCCAAGGGGAAGCGCGTTATTCATCTTCTCGCTGGGAAAAGCTTGGCTTGCCGCAGCTATTGCCCGAAAACGACCGCTTCCCTTGGGACCTTCGGACTACGGTTTCTCAAGAGGCCGGCGAAAGGAGGGGGCCATGTTGGTTATTCAGTGTATGCTACATAGGCTTCGTGTTTCAGGTTATTCCGCCAGCTGGTCCAACAAGGACCTCAGCAACGCTTTCGCGTCTACCTGCTGGGGCGCGCTCGAGCTTGCCAATTCTCTCTTGCTTGAGCCTGAGGATCAGCGTTTTGGGCTTGACAGAGTACGATCAACTACTATTCAGTTGCCAGCGTCAGACAAGAGGCTTCTCGTGAAGCCCAAGTGCGGGGCTCTTATGGGCGACCCCTATGCTGTAGAAAGTTTTGGCCGTGCTTATGCTGCTCCAGTGGATTGCTGGAGCGAACAACTCTTGGACTGCGTTGACTCGGAGAGTCTGCTAGCAGCCGAATGCCCAGTCACACATAAGCACATGGACTTGAGTCTCACCAAGTATGCTGACGATTTGACCAAGTTGCATGTTGGAGGTGGTCCCGACTCTCCTTTGCAAGACGCAAGGTTGGCAGAACTTAGCAGTGTTAACGAGTTTTCCAACGCACGACTAGACGAGCACTTATTCACGGGGGGATGGGAGCCGAACGTTATGAAGCAGAACACCATCATTAGTCTGACGGGGAAGGGGTCCGTGGATGCCAACCGACGTCTGCAAAAGGATGGGGACGCTCTTTTTTCTGGCGGAGTTCGTCCTGCCATGCGAGTTCTAGGAGCACAGATTCACAGTTCTGGAGCACTGGCGCCTGAGATCAACAAGATAATAGTAGCACTAAAGTCGGCCTTTCATTCCTTGGGCAGGTTCTGGTCTACTCCTGGGGTACCTCATCGGCTTAAAAGGTCTTGTCTACTGGGGGTCCAGAACGCTGGGATATCCAATCTAGAAGCCTTTCTCGTCACGGAGAGCCAATGCAATAAGCTCGACTCGGCTATCGTTCGGTATTGCCGCGTTGCAATGCATGGTGCCAGCTTTGAAGGCGAGCGGCACACGCAGACCTTGTCGAATGCGAAGGTGCTCGAGCACTGGCGCATGGTCCCAACTTTCACCGAGCTCAGGATCCGCAGGCTTGGATGGCTTGCCCAATTTGTTCAGTTTCCTCGCGGGAACTCGCAGATATTGGCTGCGATGTTCGGTACCTTGCCCACGGACGAGCGGCCTCAATTTGATTACATGGGGCGCTTGACAGCATATGCTAACCCGTGGGCTAGGACATTTTATGCCGACCTGGAATCACTCTCGTCTCTAGACGAAGGAGAAACATTACTTACACGACTTCAGGGGTCTTTCCTCGCCCTCTTCTGGAATAAGAATCGTGGGAGGGACTTTTGCAAGATCGACGTTACCCAGTTACGACGCAAACAGCACACAGTAGCTATCCCTCCCCCTGAGTACGAGTCCCCCTTGGATCAGGTTCTCGAGCAGGAGGTTGTGGAAGGGGTCGTGGTCAGATGGATATGTGGAGTTTACAAAGAGGAGGAGGGCGAGGACGGTATGACGTTGGGGAGAAGATGTAGGTGCAATGCCAGGTTTGGTGGTAAGAAGTCGGCCCTCAATCATCTGCGATTTCATTACCACCTACGCTCTTTGGGCCATGTTCTATGTGTTACCAAGCAGTGTCCGAATTGGTTGGAATTGTTTTCCTGCCGTGTGACTGCGGCTCGACATCTGGTGGGGTCTATGGTCCGAGGGTGCTGCTATGCTGGAGGGGGTCACTCACAGGAGCCACTACTGGAGCCCGATGACCTCTTATGCAATATATGCGGTTACCATGCCTCTGAACTCCCCGATTACCAACAACATGTCTGTAGTCATTTACCTCAAGTGTTGAGGGTGTACGACCGAAAGCAGCACAGATATCTTGACGAGCAGCTACTCGAAGCTGATGCCAGAGTCCCAGGCGCGCCCCGCCTGGATGAGCAGGCGCAGGGACGGAGGCCCCGCTCGCAAGGAGCCAAGGCGAGGAGGCGAAGACCGCGGAGTCGGCTCGCAGCAGGTTGTTGCGGTCCGCGGCGCCAAGGGCGCCAACAAGCAGACGCTCGAGGATCTCGTGGTGGTCCTGGCCAAGCTGGTGCTGACGGACGAGGCGCAGTTGAGGGCGATGCTGGGCGCGGTGTACGACACATTCCTCACGCCGTTCGACGCCGCCGTGGCCCAGCGTACGCTCGAGGAGGGGGCCACTTTCAACACCGAAGAGGGGGAGCGGCGCCAGAAGCTGTTGGAGGCCGCGAAGAAGGGCGAGCAGCTCGAGCTGCCCAAGATGCGCGCCCCCTTTCTCCGAACCTTCGTGGGGTTGACCGACGGACTCCTGGACAAGGACGAAGCCTACGAGGGGGACACGCTGAAGGCTGGCCGCCAGGTGCTGAAGACCTACTGGGACCAGAAGGTGATGAAGGCCGCCTCGCCGAACGAGCTCCACGAGATGGTGCGCTACTGCCGCGTGCAGAGGCTCAAGACCAAGAACGCCAAGCAGGCCGAGCAGGTGAAGATCCAGTTTCTGCTGGACACGACGACGAACGACGGGGTGGTCCTGCTCAAGGCCATCCGCGAGGCGCTGGTGGAGCAGGGCGCAGAGAAAACGATAGGAGGGGCTCCCCGTGGCGTTCTCGTGAGGGAGGCTCAGAAGCTTCTGGATCTGGTGAAGTAGTAGTGACGGCAGCGGCTTCAGGATCTTGTGAGGCAGTGAGGCCCCCTGCTGTAGAACCTCCAGGTCAGGTGCTACTTAGAGTTGCTTCCGAAATGGGGGTCACCAGAGGTCTTCGTGGGCTCTCTCCCACTAGGCCCGCCAGACTTGCGCCTGACCTGGAGGCTCGTTCAAGAGATAGCGTCGAGCAGGCTTCTAGTGCAAGCAGCAATTTTGTTTCTTTGGGGGTGGACCCTGTTTGGAGGTCCAGTCGCCACGCTCAGAGGCTCCTGAACCGAGGGTTGCTGAGTGAATCGGCTGCGCAGCAGGTCTCGGGACTGGCTGAAGCGTCCACCCCCCTCACTCTTCTTCCTGCTGCGATTCCTGCTCCTCCTGGCCTTGAGCCTCCTCCCTTCTCGCCTGCTGCTGCTGCTGCTCATCCATCTCCTGTTTACTTTCCTTCGGCGCCCGAAGTGGGGCCAGCCATCGCACTCCCCCGCCCACGCCCGTCAGGCAAGGGAAAGGGGCGGCACCGTCCAGGCAGGTAGCTGGGGGCGGTGCCGAGGGCGGCAGCCTCAAGGCTGCGCGCCTGCTGGGCCCGCCGCCAGGCCCGTGTCGGCCCCACACGGGCGCCGATCCGCGCGCGGCGGCGTGTCAAGATAGCCCTCCGCACGGAGAACCTAGGCGCCACCCCTCCCCCTCTGCGGCACGCTCTTTCAGATTGTAGTTTGCAGTCAGTAGAGTTGTCACGGATCGGCGCCCCACGGTCCTATCCTATCCTATCCTATCCTATCCTATCCTCCTCCTCCTCCTCCTCCTCCTCCTCCTCCTCCTCCCTCTCCTCCTCCTCCTCCTCCTCCTCCTCCTCCTCCTGCTCCTGGGGAGGGAGGGGAGGGGAGCAATGCCTGTCGGCCCTGGTCGCGGCTATCGTGACTCTCTCACCGGCGACGAGGAGCCCGATCTCCGTGAACGGGTCCATGTGCCCGAAGGATGCGAAGCTCCTCGATGGAGGAGGGGGAGGGGGAGGGGGAGGGGGAGGAGGAGGGGGAGGAGGAGGAGGAGGAGGAGGAGGAGGAGGAGGAGGAGGAGGAGGAGGAGGAGGAGGAGGACGAGGAGGAGGAGGACTTGCCATCGGTCGGACATCCGTTCCCCGTGCACGTTTGGTTTCGTGCGTTGATTTTTCGCACGATGAGCCAAGATGCTCCTGGATGGTCCCCGCCGAGAAAAGTTATCGGAGCGCACAGGGGGGTAGGGGGGAGAAGGCTTCTTAGACGGAGGCCGCTTCTTGGAATGCGCCAGCCCTGCATCTACAGGCAAGGCCCGCGCCTTCTAAGAAGCAGGGGTGCTTCTAAGAAGCCATCCCCCCCTCCCCCTACTCCCCTCTGTGTGCGGCCGATGGATGGGGTCGAAGAATCGCGCTGCATCGCCGATGCATCGGGGACGCCTGCGATGCATCGGCAACGTTGACGTGGATAAAAGCAGGCTCCACAGCATCGGCGATGCGGCGCGATGCCTCGACCCGATCTACTCACTCGGACACCAATTTAGAGGAACGCAGGAAGGCATAAGCGTAAACTTTTGACGGTCCGCCAGATTTCTTGGATCTGCGCTGAATCCCCCTCCCTCGCGCGCGGAGCGCGCCAAGGGCCGGCACCGCCAGGGGGGGCC